GTTGTCAATTACTATATTGGGTCCTATGAAGAAGATTTGATTTTGGTGGGTTTTTGTAATAACGTTGAACAATTCAAGATTTGGAAAGTAAGTGCCGAAAATTTTTACTGCGAACAGATTGGAGAAATGCCATTGGCGTTTGTTGAGAAATTGAAGAGTGAATGTTTTGGATTTTCTTCAATAAATGTTCTTGTGGCGAGGAATTTCGTCTACATGTATAATTCGTGGGAGGTGGAGGAGATGGTGGTGTGTGAACTGACAAGCGGCGGCGGCGGCATTGGCAGTTGCAGGTGGTGGAGCGTGCCAAATGTGGTATGTCGTGATGGGATGTTGAAGGATAGGTTGGTTTTCACATGTTCTGAAGTTGGGTTCGATGAGTTGCATCGAGTTATGAAGATGGATAACTGGAAATTTGAGGTAGTGAGTACTTGAGAAAATGAGTTGAATCGGTGGCTACGGGTCAAAGCTTGCATAGACCGAGTTGTGATAACTGTTATTTTTTTCATTTCTTAAGTGTAATAATTAATGTTACATGATGCAATGTTTTGTATTATTGCTTGTCAATATTAAAATTTAAAAGTTCAAATATGTGCTTAAAGAGCCATTAAGGGACAACCACGTCAAGCGGTCACCAATTTAAATTTCGAGCGTCTCATATTATGGCCTGTTTGGGAGTGATTTTTTCCTTCAAAAAATTGATTTTTTGACCGTTATTTCACTATTTCAGTTGTCATATTTAACTTCTTCTCTCATAGGTGGACTTCACTTTTTTCCAAACAGTCAAAAAATCAATTCTCAAGATCACCAAATTTTTCTCGTTCTTGGCTCATGGCATGTCAAAGTCAAGAGCCGAGAGTTTTTTATCCCGATTTTTCACATAGGACTGGGCTCCCACTCCAAAACACTAAAATGCTCTAATCGCTAAAAAAACTAAGCTTTTTATTTATAAAATAAATAGTTTTAGTGACTTCAAATTTTACTATTTAATGAAAAGTTGCATGCAGGTTTAGGAATAACAATATGTCAATATTCATTGCCTCCACCTCCCTTCCTGAACTGTTCTGTCTTAAATTTCTCAAACCCGCTTGNTATATATATATATATATATATATTTATTTATTTATTTATTTATTTTCAATTTAAAAATAAATAATAATATTCATCTTGAATGGAGATGATTGGAAAAAAATGAAGAAAGTTGAACCCCAACCTTGAGGGCTCTCACCGCCTCGCCCCTAGAGTTTTGAGAGGGGGATAAATCGCGGGATGTGTCCCAACAGGCCAAGAAATAAGAGCTGTCTGTACACTGCGCCTACAAGAAGTCCAGTTCCATGTCTCAGGAATCGAACCCCTACACTGCGGCTGTCAGCAAGACGTGAGATAACCTCACTCCTGTTCTTTGCACCACTGGATTATGTCCCGGGAAGCGATATGATTGATCTCCACTCTCTGTGGTGGTGATGTCCCTCCCATATTGGACCATGTGATATTGATTTCATTAACATATAGATTGGCGATCATTTCCGTTGGACATGAATGTGAATGGTAAATATTGATAGATTTATTCTTGATCCCGCCTCATAGTACCTTTCAAAAGCTCCAACAAGGTGGGTGATGGAAATTGTGATCTCGCCACATTGTCATCTCTCTACACCACCACCAAATCTTGTAATTTAGAAAAAAAAAGTTGAGGATGGTAAGCAATGAAAAAAAGATTGGAAACAAAATTACTACTTTCACCAAAGGGTTTCGGACCAAATGGGTAATTACCCTTAACAAAATACCCAAGACAGGCTGCACACAAGTGGAAATTATTAAATTGTAACTGTGCGAACTGACTGTTTCTGATTTTTCAAGTCAAAAAATTAATTTTTTGATCGTTACTTAATATAGTCAACTGTCATTTTTGACATTTTCATTCATAGATAGGATCCACTTTTTTTTTCTAACGGTCAAAAAATTGATTCTCATAATCAATACCAAACAGTCGTCAATTTTTTTATATAAGTTTTTTTTGATCTTTAAGAGCATGCTTGGAAATGGTTTATAAACGGTCTATAAGTTTATTTTGATAAATAAATAATGGAAACGTTATTAACTAACGGAATGTAATCTTGATATAGAAAGGCCTGAATACCCTCAATTTAATTGGTAACTTCTCTTCAGGTTAATTTTTCTCGGTAGAAATTAGAAAAAGTAGAAGTAAGATCTTTTAAAGTTTAACCAGCAAAGTTATTTATTTTAATATTGCCATTTATTTATGAATAAATTTTCTTGTAACAAACCTGTTAAACTGAGACAAATGTGCTCTCCTCTCTTGTAAGTTTATTAGAAGTTATTTATAAGTTTAAAGTTTAAAATAGATATATTTTTATTGATTAAAGTTAAAAATAAGTAAGTTATTTATTTTTTGATACAAATGTAAGAAATATATTATATAATTAACTTTTATTTTATAAGTAAATTTTAAAAATAATCATATTTTCATTAATCAAAGTAATAAATAAATAGGTTATTTTTTATTGCAATGTTTTGTTTTGTTTTGTTTTTTTTTTTTTGTTGTTGTTGTTTTTTTTTGGTTTTTTTTTTTCCTAGAAGTAAGAAAATTCAATGTTATCTAAAATGCTCGTAGACAAAAAGTTAATTTACAAGTAAATGAGTAAGTTTTCTATGACATTATTTGTTTTATTGATCAAAAGTAAAAATAAGTAAATTTACTTAAATTACATAATTTGACACAAAGGTGAGAACTAAGAACTATCTTTCAAAAAAGATTTTTTTTTTTTTTAAATTGTTTTACTCAAATGAGTTTGGTAATGTTTTCGACACGGAACATCACTAGTTATAGAATAAGGTAGTCATTGTAATTATTTTATGCACTAAGTGTACTTTGAACTTTGAAGAACAACACTATGATTTGCATTTCAGATTTAGAATGATTTAACTCGGAGCGTCACGTTGTCAATTTTACATTCCATAAGTGTACGGATCGCTACAAGTAATATAATAGATCAATGAGTCCGGGTTATCGTTTCCACGAAAACTATATTTTAATATTCAATTTATTATTTTCAATTTTTATTTGATGAAAATAAACAATAATAGTGATCAGTTGTGATTTTTAATCCAACTACTTAACAATGCGTGGATGCACATAAAGATTGATTGATAATTTAAATAATAAACGGATATTAGAATGGAACAATTTTCCCTATTGATCATCTTTAAGTCTTAAATCAAGATTTATAAAATCTAAGGTAGCGTTTGATTGAATTCTACTATTGTATTTAATTTACTTCTCTCGAGTTCTCATTAACCCTATTTAACTACTTCAATTCCATATTTTCATGTGAATCAAACTTAGTTAAACGAAGGATTGGTTCTAAGAATTCATATATGACCGCAATAATTAATATATGTATCTCTACATGTTATATTAATTTATCGAATTTTAATATGTGGTCTAAACAAATATTTCGTATCTCTAAATAATTATTGTTCATGAAATCATTAAATAATTGGCCATAGAATTCAAAGCATTAAAAACATATTAAAATCAACACATATGAATAAATAAACTTGAATCTTGACTGAAAGAATTAAAGGTTCTCAAAAGGTTACATTGTTCGCCATAATAATAAATTTAGCTACTCATGATAATGGAAGAAAAATAAAAGGTATAGAATTCATAACCGGATTTTGAAATTTTGATCATGGAAAGAATTGGATCTTGCACAAAAAATCTTCTTCAACCTCGAAAGTCTTTAACACCTAGCATTTGCTATTTGATTTTGATGATTATGTATTTTTCTCCCATTTGATCTTGCTTTCTCAATTTTAAGTTGTATTTGTTTGCCTCTCAATGTGTGAAATCCCCCTTTGATGTCCTCTCCTCTTGTATTTGTACTTCTCCTCACATTTTTTATTCAATTTAGGGTTTCTCTGGACTTTTTACGGGTCAAAACGACGCAACCCTAAATTTGGCACCACAATGATTAAGCTCTAGGAAGTAGCGCCTAGGCGCCGTGATGATGACCAAGGTAGTGCTTGGGCGCACGAGTGCAGCACTTAAGTTGCCTTTTTGTCCAAAAATTGCATTTTTTTTGTGAATTGTAGCGCATGAGAGCTGACTTGTTGCTTCAAATTCATAGATCTTGACTTTTTTGTCCACTTTAGTATTCTTTTTTACATGGTCTCTCTTAATCTTCGAAATAATACTAACAAACACATAAAAACATTCTATTCTCATGAGATCTAAAAAATAATCAAGTTAAAATTATGTAAAACTCTAAGTAAAACATACTCATCACGACAATAAGTAGTTTAAGTAGTGTTTTAGGACATATTTGACTTGCAACATTTCAACACAACTTTAAATGGTTCAAGTAACATTCTCTACTATTTATGGTTCAAAAAACTTAGAAAATAGTTTTGTTATGAAGTATGAAGGTGGGCATGACGTTACAAAGTGTTGACGAAAGTTATAAACTTGGGAGAAGTTTTGGACTTCCGACACTAAAAGTTTGTTAACTTCTTTTTTGGTCGAGTTTTTGCCTTCAACCTTCCAATTATTTGAAAATATTTATTTGTTGATAATGAATTGGTCCAAATTTTTTGTTTACGTACTTTAAAATGAAATAAAAATGATTTCTCAACTACAGTATTTATTATAATTTTTATTTATTTAAAAATATGATGAACAAATAAGTTCTTTTATATATTTTAAACGGATTTTTTTTAACGAAAATCACCGTCAAAGACGGGACATGTTAATTAATAGAAGTTTGATGATAATAGCGTGATGAAAAAAAGTTGAAAACATAAGTTGTATAATAAAAAATATTAGAAATTTTGAATTCAATAAATATGTGGTGCAAGAAATAATTAATAACAAATGCGGTATGAATGTAATTATCCTATCGTTATTCTCTTTTCGGTCAATAGCCATTTCCATATTATTACCAAATGCAGCCATTTGGTCCAATTTCCCAAAAAATAATTTTGATTTTCTTGACCATGTAACAAATATTGAAAATTTGTGTCCTCAATTGGTAATGTCAAGGGCCAATGATTTTGAGATGGAGAGAAATAGTTAGCAACTGCCTATGGCTACACTTTCTCACTGTCTTCCCTCCATTACCAGCCAGCATCGTCGACTGGTCTTCCGGTTCAAACACCGGCCGATTCAATGCTCAGCAGCTGCTGAACGCCAGGCGCTTTTTAACCGTATCGCTCCTGTCTATGATAATGTGAGCCCCTTACCTCTTTCTAAATGTTCTTAATTGATAACTCTTTCTCTAGTTCGACTCTTTCTAAATGTTCTTAATTTATAACTCGTTCTCTAGTTCGATCTTCCAATTTTCTGTTCAATTATACAAATTGTTTTCCAGTTTAATTTATTATGTTTTTGTTTCCCATTTGTAGTTGAATGATTTGTTTAGCTTGGGAAACCATAGAATATGGAAAAGAATGGCGGTTTCATGGAGTGGGTATTAACTCTGTTCTTTACTCCATTCTTTTTTATTTTTTGTTAACTTTAGATTGGAGTGGGATAATACTGATGCTATTAAGAAAAAAGAAGAAGGTAAAATCTCATTGATTATACCGTCGTAGTGCTTGTGTTTTACAAACACATATTAATGTCTTTTATGGTTAAAGATTGAATTAATTTTTATTGAGTTTGGATTAAGAGATTGGTGATCTCAGATCTGGATTCCTTATTGTGGCTTTTCTTTTGAGAACATTTAACATTTGGATGGATGTTGTTGAAGTGCTCATAGGGCTGTATTTAATTTAAGAAAAAAGATTGAATCTTTATTTTTGTAAAACAGGGCAAAAGAAGGAGATAATGTGTTGGATTTATGTTGTGGAAGTGGGGATTTGGCTTTTCTCTTGTCCGAGAAAGTTGGACCCAATGGCCAGGTTTGCTTTCTTTGTCTTCCCTATCTGCAGTAGTTAGCATTATTCTTTTAAAGATTTTTTCCCCTTTTTTAATGTTTGCTTAAGTTCTAAGAATTTGTTACTTGGGACGATCCACATGAACCAACCAAATCTGTTTTTCACCCCGGTATGTGGTTTTCTTAAAACTTTGGAACTTGTTTGAATGATTCTAAAGTGCTAGTATGTCGAAGTCACTACACCAAAAAAGTTCAAGCTGGGAATGCCTCTGCATAATATTAAATTGTAAAAATGTTGCAATGTGTTGAGTTGAGGGTCCTTCATATTCATGCTTTAGTTCTCTACATCTCAATTCGTCTAAGATTTCTCCATCACCTACCAACAAATATTAGTTTTTCAACATATTTTGGGACAGTTTGATCTATTCAAAATATCAATTGTGATGCAACCCAGTGCAGAAATATATCGATTTTGCCTTTTGTTGCATTAAGTGTTCCTCGACTTCAAATTTTCTCCAATCTGAATATTTTACATTTGTTACAATATTTCACTTGTACCATAGGACATTGGTTCTCAAAGATTTCTGTTGTTTCTAATGAAGATGCTCATATTTATTGTGATATTAGCTAAAGCGTATTGATCATCATCCAATAGCCATCTCTCATCAAGTGGCTTCCCTGCTGAATTACAAATTTCGAATTTAGTGATGATTTCCGCTAAGTTTTAGTTCCATTTTTGTTTCTTTCTTATTTTCTTTATTTTCATTTCTCGGAATTGACAACTTCACAGGTGACAGCTCTTGATTTCTCGAAGGAGCAATTACAAATTGCTGCATCTCGCCAGCGAATGCGATTTAAGCCCTGCTACAAGAATATTAAGTGAGTTCCTATGTTTATCCGTTGATTTATTGCATAACTGGCTATCAATGTGAGACTTCACGCACAAGTGAATCACTGAGCTTTCCTTTGAAACTTTATCCTATTATTGAAGCCTACAGAGAAAATGCTGTAACATAACCTTATCATTAGCCAGTTAGTATGTGATATTAACACTATGCGATGTATTTTAGGTGGGTTGAAGGAAATGCAGTTGACTTACCATTTTCTGACTCTTATTTTGACGGCATTACAATTGGCTATGGGTTAAGAAATGTGGTAGATAGGCCGAAAGCGATCGAGGAGATGTGCAGAGTTCTAAAGAAAGGTTCAAAAGTATCTGTTCTCGATTTTAACAAAAGCACTCATCCAATTGCCATTTCATTTCAGGTATTTGTTGACTATAGGAATTTCACTAATTGCATTTTTTTCCATTTTTTCATTATTAAAATGAGCATGTGCATGATTAGTCCTTTGAGGCATGAGAATAGTCATTATTAAAATGAGCATGTGCAGGGATTCTTTGATCGAAAGACGAATAAATGTAGTCCATACTTCTATATGTACTCAATCAGTGCATATATACTCGTTATCTTTACTCGAAATTGCAGTTTGATTTTGCTGATGTTATGTGTTCAATTCTTGCCCCGATTTTCTTACAACGGGAGATTCCTATAATCATCATTTTAATCCTTTTTTCCAGGATTGGGTGATTGATAATGTGATAGTTCCTGTTGCAAGTGGGTATGGCCTTGGTAGTGAGTATGAATACTTGAAGAATTCAATCAAGAAATATCTGACAGGTCTGTCCTTTCTCCATCAGATTTATACAGCCGAAAGTTTATGGGTTAATTAAGTTTTTGTCTAAGCTTAAAAAATGTGAAAAAAGTAACTTGTTATTTCCAAATATGTCTGCATAACATACTGCTATTTTTTATTTTTTTTCCTTTTAAACTTTACTTTGTTGTCAAAATAAGTAACCTACTTATTTTTAACTTTCACCAATAAGAAACTATTTATTTTAAAAGTCATTTACTTATAAGTAAATTTTTAGCTGAACATTCTCTTAGTCGAACATAATTGTGGATTGTAAACAGTCCTGAAGACCTGTGCTTATATATTAAATACATTACTTTCCATGCTAAATAATACACGTGTGACTTTGCAATTTCTGTCACTTTTTGAAGACATGGAATACCTCCACGAGAAGTAAAAAAAATTCTGCATATTTTTGACGATTCAAGGTAAAATAATTGGACTATTCCCTCACAAAACTTGGTTAATAGATCCCGTATAAAGGTCTACATTAGTACATAAACCAATTGTATGCGACCAATCATAAGCACCATAATAAGTGGTATTCACAGGGAAAACAGCAGCTGCTCTTGTAAAAGCCTCCATAGCATCGACAGAAGTCAGAATACCAAAAAAAAAATTGAAATGAACAGCATCCATTGTGTAGACTTTGGCCAGTTTTCCCTGCTCATCCATAAGAATATGTCTTTCGCTTTAATGGGTAATAGAAATAAAAAGAATGTTCTAACAAAAGGCATAAGAGAAGTTTTGGGAAATGCCCAAGAGTAATCAAGCTACCATCATTTGGATGATATTTTCATTATATTACTTTGTAAATAACTGCATTTATGATAAGTTGCAAGTTAATAAAGGGCATCTGACATTTTCTTGATTCTCTCCCTTTTTTTTTTTTTTTTTTTTTGGGGTGCCGGGGACTATTTTATGTGGCATGACGCGTACGTGTTGAAATGCAGGAGATGAGTTGGAAAAGATAGCTTTAGAAGCAGGATTTTCCACTGCCAAACATTATGAGTTTAGCGGAGGATTGATGGGCAATTTAGTAGCTTCACGATAAGATCAGTTGTTTCTTCAGACTGCTTCCTTTCAAGCGGGTTGATTTACATGCTCTGGCTTGCTACTTCTGAAGGGATATACAAGCATCTCTTGCATAGTTGTTTAGGTAATAAGTCTGATTGGCATCTGTCCTGTTACAAATATAATTTTATCTGATCCAGGTAATTTCTTGAGATAAATCAATACTAAGTTTCAGTTATGCTGCATGACATTGATATGTTGAGTACATTTTGTTTAGAATGTGATAAAGATTTCTGTCTGAGGGAGCTTAAAGCAATTTTCAGTGAAGCACAACTGCAATATGGAAAATCCAAAGCTCCTCTGTATATCAGTATCTGTCTATTCACGCTGTGATTATTGTGCTAGTAGAGAGTAAATATCTGCAAAATTACGAAAATGACTGATACTTGGGGAAATAGAGAAAAAGGAAACTTCCATCTGAATGAATATTATAGAAATTGCACAAGTTAATGTAAACTGCTTTTGAAGTTTGTATATTTGGTATTTGAATATTTGATAGAAATCATGCAGTGATAGTTGCTAGACATATTTCTTTACTTTTCTTTTACATACCCCGAGATCTGGATTACATTCCTGGCTACCTAATCTTTTTTTGTGCATCTAAATCTATTAGGAACAAGGCCTAGTTTTTAGATTAACATTAGTTGCTCTATGAGCGGGAAAACTTGAACTTATAATTATTGTATCTCAGAGACTAGTGCTTCAAGAAAATGCCGAATAAGATAATGACTAGTATTAACAAAAATAGTGGACTATTAAACGAAAGTTCAACTACTCCTTTTCTCATATGTGCCCAAAGAATTCCAGCTAAAATTTCAGAAGTCATCTGGGATAGAAAATGCTCTGAGAAATGCTTGCAATCGAATGCGAAGACGGGTTTTCTGGTGCATTGTTAAGTTCCATAGTCTTCTCATTCATGAAAGGGGGATTGGTCGGTGCAGGGAGGTGCTCTTCTTTCTTTACCAGCATCTGTAGTGCTCTAGACATGGATGGCCGTAGGGGCGGGATCTCTTGAGTGCACAGGAGCCCGACATGAACAACCCTTAGAATCTCATTCTTAACGTCGACGTTATGATAATTATGCAGCATTATGTTCGGATCAAACAGCTCGTCTACTGTTCTTTGCTGGAAATGCTTCCATACCTGTTTGATACGAATGATGCCATGGTTAAAATACGAATACATATGACAGCAAAGGGTTTAATATACACAACTTACAAGAGTTGCTAAGCTGTCTGAGTTTTCGAAGGCTTTGCTATTGCTGTTCTGTCTAGCTGTAACAATTTCAAGAAGAAGTACACCAAAACTATATACATCTGCCTTTTCTGTTAACTGGCCATGGGCTAAGTATTCTGGAGCCATATATCCTCTGTATTTTTGCAAATTCAACATAATTTAGGAGTTAGGAATTCAATTTCTTATTCGGGTTTAGGATAAAAGGACAACAACACTCACAATGTTCCTGCAATGGCAGTGCTGATATGACTTTTATCTTCTTGAAAAGATCTCGCCAGCCCAAAATCAGCAATTTTAGCACGGAGTCTAGAGTCCAAGAGTATATTACTTGCTTTGATATCTCTGTGAATGATTCTGATTTTCGAGTTTTCGTGAAGGTAGACCAACCCTTCTGTAATCCCTATAATTATCTCAAATCTCTTCTCCCAATTTAATGATTTTCCTTTGCTTGGATCTGTCAAATTAAAACAGCAGCATCATCTCAATTTAACCACTTAAACCAAACACAAACTAAGATGCTAATGTGTAATCTACAATAATGGTATAGCCTAAATCAGAAATCTAGTAGTTACCGAAGATAAAGGAATCAAGACTCTTGTTTGGTAAAAATTCATATACAAGAAGACTTTCGGGTCCTGAGCAACTGCATCCCAACAACCTGACCAGGTTTTTGTGCTCGACACTGCTAATCATGTTGACTTCGTTGTAGAAGTCGGCTGCTCTATGTTTGTTGTTGAAGTAAAGCCTCTTCACAGCAATTTCTCTTCCATCTAGCAAAACTCCCTGCAATAACAATAAATTTCAAATTATACATCAATCTAATAGTGAATTTAGTTTCCCATATCTGTGGAGTAATGACCTTATACACTGCACCAAATCCACCTTGCCCAAGCTTGTTGGCTTCATCAAAAGAACTAGTTGCTTTCTCAAGTGTGGAATATTTAAAGTTCAAGCTGCTATGGTGAAGGGTTTTTGCCAGTTTTCCTGCATTACTCGAAGCTGGGAAGATGGAGACTTCAGCATAAAGATGAGACCATATTCTACCTTGTTATTAAAACATTAAGAACCAGCTTTCCATTGAATGCTCGATGTTTTTGAAGATTATTCAAAAGCAGTTAGAATGGAAAGGTGTGTAGTGATGCAAAGCTAAGATGATTTTAGTGCCGTCTTGTTGAGAATTCTCACATAGAGTAGTTTAATTTCTAAATGCTTATGGTAGAATAAATGCTATTTACAGTTGACATGTCATGCTATTAAGGCTAAATGCAGTATACCTTTTCTCTTCTTCTGCATTGTTCTGTGCTTCCATATATAAACTCCAATGACTGCTCCAATAACCAAAACACCTACTGAACTAACAGCTACAGCTACAACTACTGTTATTGTCCCTGCCAAAGTTAGTCGAAAATTTGAATAGATTGATACAAATTTTACAACAGAAATGCTAGGGAGAAGACTGTTAAGCTCTTTCTACCTCTTGAAATTCCATTTCCCGGCATAGGATTAAGAAAGTTGATGTCGGAGTACCTAACAAAGCACCCTGTATTCAGCGCCCGACCCTCGGACCATGGCAAGCATCCCAATATAGAGGCAGATGCATTCTGTAAACAAGCTCTGCAAGAGCTAGCACCAAGTGTCCTCCAGCAATTAGCAAGAACATAAGCCGATTCATTTTTCGTCCCAGACACGGGCACTTGAACCCGTGCATAGCCATTGTTGTTTGGTGCTGCTGAAACTGCTTGTGCCACAGCCTTTCTTGCTGATACCTGAAATGCAGAATTCTTTTGAGTTCTATTCCCACAGACGGCCCTGTCATATGGTCCACTATACTCTTGATAGAAACTGTAATTCTCAGCTCGCATAAAACAGCCATCGAGGAAAACCCTTCCGCTATTGACAGGATCGCACCGAGGAAGAATCGAACGCGCTTCAGCGTAGCATAAGAAACAATCGAGTAAAGAAAGATCACCATAGCACTGTGCTAGTCCATAATTAATATTAGGTCCGGAGCCTGTTACTGCTACGCCAAAGCCTGAAAGTCGCATTTGCACGCTTATGTTTTCCATCGTGACAACAAAGTTTCCGACGGAAATGGTGGGGTTGCTCGGAGTTTGGATCCCGCACATTAACTCAACTTTCTGAGCTCTTGGCTCCCCAAATGATGCATCTGGTAGTAGCAGAATACCCAGAATGATAACGATAACAAATGGACTGGCAATAAATTTCTTCATTCTCCACTTTGTTTTGTATTTCAATTGTACGAAGACCAGGAAAATTGAAAATTCGCTCTGTATATCGCTTACGTTTTCCCTACAGATTCATGAACCAAATATTATATTAAACTTCCTTGAATGTCAATGTAGAAATATGATATATATGTCTGAACATATATGAAACTTCCTTGAAGTTGCAAAACATCAGACGGCACCAAAGTTGACCGACTTTTTCTGAGATGGACACTTTAATGTTAATTCTTTAAGCAAACTGGATTAATTTATTATTGACTTTGGATCTTGTGTCCCAGAACAAAGTAATATGCTTGCTGGCTTGAATGAGGTGGAAAATCGAAAATTAAGTGCTTGTTTGGTAGAGATTTTGAGAATTGATTTTTTGATCGTTAAAGATAAAATGGATCTTATTTTTGAGAGAAGAATTTAAAAATGACTGATAAAATAGTAAAATAACGATAAAAAAATTGATTTAAAATCGCAACCAAACAAGCGCTAAGCCTTTCATAGAAATTATAATCTAAATTTTTATCAAAGTCAAAAATTAATTTTAACTATATATTTTATGAATTCTATAACATTTCAATCATACATTTTATTAAAATCTGATTTTAGTTTTTACCAAACACGGGCTTACTGTCCAAATATTTGTTGATTGTACTAAACTAGCAACCGGGGTTACTAATCATCATTAATTTATGTTTCCTCGTGATGATAATGGAAGTAGGGACTGCTATCTTAGTCGATGTCTAAAGGTTTGGACAAGATCTCTGAATAATGATAGTCAATGTCTAAAGGTTTGAGGAAAGTGAATTATTTAAAAATATCAAATAAATAAAGTCAGATAAATAAATAAACTATTAAAAGTTTTCGATATCAAATTATTAAACACTTCAACCTCAAAAATTTCTTTATTGTTAATGCCTTTTATTGATTTGGAGATACTATGTTCGATGCATTTGTATGCATTATGACTTAACTTATTTTCCCTCAATTTTTGGTTTGACCATGTTTTGTGCTGCAATTGGTAAATGAACATGATTTTCTGCCTTCCTCCTTATATAATGAGCTTTCCAACGTATACTTATAAAAATGTTGTATACTTATTATATGTTATTATTACTCTTAAATTACGCAAATTTTATCAATTACGAAATTTTTTAAAAAATAACTAAAAATTATAAATACCTAAAAAATAGTTGATAAAAATAGAACTGTTAAGCTTATATATACTTTCTCTGATCTTAAAAATAAATAAAAGTAAAATGGTATAGTGGCTAGTAAGAGGATCAATTATAAAGTTTGTACAGGTTCGAATTCAAAACACTTGCATACTTTTGTATACAGTATATACTACATAGTGTTGCAGTATGGGCCTGATTGGGCCATGCTGATCTTCGAATTTTATTAAAACCGGTAGGTTCAGATTGTGTTTGATTGGTTTTATTGGTTTTTGATCGGTTCATATGCTTTTCGATCAAAATGTGCATATTGGCCTGGTTCTATGTCCAATTTGGCGGGTTTTGAGCCGACTAGGGCGGACCGATTTTAATTACTATGATTATAACAACATTATAATAAGAGGAAATTACATATAAATAGGCATTTAAGTTTTTCAATTCAAAAATCAGGTGGGAGGCTTATTTAATAAAAAAATCAGGTATTAATTAAATTATTAAATGTTAACAATATTATTATAAAATTAAATTAATATATATACCCACCCCATGCCACCCACCCCATCTACCCCAACCCAATTTCAGTGTCAAACAATAGTTCATTTTCGAATCTCTCTCCCTTTTCCATCTTTCTATCCATACACTCTCTTTACTCTGGTGTCAATGTGAGATTGACAACTGTTGACACATAAAAATTCAACTCAAATCGAACGGTCCAAGGAATGAAGCCCAATTGGAGGATCCCCAAATCAGATAGCCCAAAGAACGAAACCCAATCAGACAATTCAGGATGAAGGCCCAAATAGGGAGGCCCATGAACGCGGTAACACCATCGCCCAAGCTTGCAAGTCGCCCAGGATTTGAGCGAATGGAATGCCATGCAGTCACCCAGAGCTGCTACTCTATTCTCGCCCAAGCCTTCGAGTCGCCCAAGGTCTTAGCAAACATGAAATGTTATGGTTATCAAGAAACGCAGTTATCAAAGCAGTTATTAAACAGCCCTATCACGTTCCACGATTCAAGGAATTCAATTGAAGACGGTTGAACGGCAAAGAGTAATGACAGCAGTTAGAAAAGGCAGTTCCATGACAAGTTGGCCATTACGAGGAAAGTGGGCAGTTATAGAACGATCAAGTAGTTTTTAGGCGGTTGATCACAAAGAGATCATCCAAGGAGTATAAAAGGAAGAAAAGACATAGAGCAAAGAGCCTGAATCAAAAACTCTCGAACAAAGAACATGTAACTTTAAATTTCTTAGTTTAGATTTAAACACTTCTTTCACAGTAACTCGTGTGCTTGCGCCCCTTGGAGGCATTCTGTTTTTACTTTCCAATTGTAAAGTTATCGCCAATAAAAAAGCCCATTTTTGGGACTTTGTTTCAAGAGGTTTGTCCCTTACATAATCGTCTGATCCCTTTTTAATTGTTAGCGACTAACCCGCGCTAAACAACTTGACACACCTAGTAGGACAATGGTGTTTGGTGTTGAAAATACAAAAGGTGAAACAATATGTCTCAGAGATCCAATAAGGAAGCAGCAAGTCAGGGAGGAGTCCAGCCTGTGATCGAGCGATATGAGGAGCAGCATGCCTCTCCACGAACAGATGGACAGAATCAGAGCAGTAACAGTCGTTACGAACCAATGACAGAGTTGAGTCCTCGAACTATGCGTGCACTACTTGGAGAACTCACACAAGATGTCGTTGAACTGGTAAATCTTCGAAATATTCATAATATGGAAAGATTTACCCAAAATGGGAATACACATTATGACAACATGGCCAAACAACTAAACACTTTGAACGAAATAATGAATAAGTTAGTAGGCCAAATATGTCAATCGGTTCTGCCTCTTGCAAACCACTTTCAAACTAGGACAATTGTGAGACATAATCCCTCAGTCCTAAATCCGAATCAAGGGATAGAACCACTTTCTGGTCCCTCTACTTCAAACCAAGGGGGTGGTGCAGTGCTAAATCAGAACAATAGTAGTGGTACGCCTAACTTGGGGGTAATCCAAATGTAAGAGATAATGTCCTAAACAATGGACAGAATAACCCACGTGTTAATGAGGGAATAGATGTTCAGGCTAATGGTAATGGTCCAAATCATGGTAACTTTGTTGCTAATCAAGGATCAAACATCAGGCCTCATGCAAATCAACCGGTTAACCAACCTGTAGGAATTCCATATGACCCCAACGTCATGTTGAGGAATCAGATTACGGAAATCGTACAGGATAAGATGGCTTTTGGGGTGCATCCTGTCATTAGGCCGACTTACACAAAGCCATATCCTGATTGGGTAGACCAAGTATATCCATGGCCTAGAGGGTATAAAGTGCCAGAATTCTCACTGTTTACCGGTTTAGGGGAGGTGTCTACTTTAGAACACATATGGCGATTCACATTGCAAAGTGGTGATGTAACTGATTACCATAAAATGAGGCTCTTCCCTAGTTCATTAACAGGAGTAGCTTTCTCCTGGTTCATCAACTTGTCAGCGAACTCTGTTCAAACATGGCAACAATTGGAACAATTATTCCACGCTCAGTTTTATAAAACTGAGTTTGAAGTTACTTTGGTTGATTTGCGAATCTACGTCAAATGCCAAACGAATGGGCAGAAAGTTTTCTCCAAAGGTTCAAAACAGCAAGAAGTAAGTGTTTTGTACCTCTGCCCGAAAAAGAATTTGTCAAAATCGCTCAGGGTTGCTTGAGCTTTGATTTAAAAAAGAAATTCCAAGACAAGGAATTTCCTAACATTTTTCAGTTGAGTGCGAATGTGATTAGGTATGGACAACTGATAAGAGAAGAAGAGCAGATGGAAAATTCTAGTAAAGGGACTTATTACAAAGACCCAAATTTTGACGTTCATACCATCAACAACGAGTCATACGATCAAGCCGAAAATGTGTTTGGCCGAATTGGTCAGCCTAGACCATCGGGCAAGAATGAGCCCATGAAAGATGGAAACATAAAGGCTAGAACGTTCTCGTTCGATGTAACCAAGGCTGACTTTATATCTGATAAATTATATACGGATAAACAGATAAAGTTGAGCGATAAGCATAAATTGCCAAACCCTGAACAAATTAAGGGTAAAAAATATTGTAAGTGGCATAATGCATGGTCACATTTGACTAACAATTGCTTGGTTTTTCGTCATGTATTGCAGGATGCCATTGAATCAGGATGAATTATGTTCGACGATAAGAAGAAGATGGCAGTGGATGAAAATCCTTTTCCACAGCCACTTGGAGTGAACATGGTAACGTCTGGTTTCAAAAACAAGTTGCCAAAATTCAAGTTGGTCATAGATGATGGAGAAGAGGACCCTGGACCACATCCCAGTGTCTTTGAACGAATCAAGGGGAAGGAGCCAAAAAAGGACGAAGACGTCCTGTGTGCAAGATGTAAAAGAGAAGTGAGTGGAAACACGGAGAAACCAGGGATATGGCAGCATCCCCATCGCCCTACTTTCTTCCCAAACACTCAGCCTGGTAGAGGGCGAGGTACATCATTCTATAGAGGACCGCCTTGTGAGAGGTAGTTCAAGCCAGTAGATAATGGGAGAACCTTTAGGCCGCAACCCCATCGGCCAAACGTATGGCATTCGTTCCAGTATAATGCAGGAAGGGCAATACCCTTCGATGAGATGACTAGAACCTAACAAAGGCGTTTCCAACGAAACTATGGACGAATGATGAGGCAGCAACAGGGAATGTCACATTCCTAAAGCGCCTAAACTACTTAAGGTAACCAATCAAAATGTTCTCAAAGATAGTAAAGAAATCGGTACAGATGAATCAATGAAAGAGCTAACAGAAACTTCTTGTGGGAGATCAAAGTTTGAGCGAGACAGAAGGGATGGAGAAGATCCAGATCAGCCCATTACTATCCAGTTCGGTACGTTACCTCCTGTCGTGGCTAATAATTATTTACTGGCCAATGAATT